GAATGGCGAAATCTGTCCGCAGACGTCAATAATACGAGAGAATGCAGAAACAACAAATGGCTTTATGCATTTCGATCTCCAGAGGACGGAGCTCACGAGGCGAATGTGTTGGCAGCTTCGCTGGTCCATGATCTTGCGGTCCCTGATAATGTTTACGAATGCGAGTGCTGGAAACTTTTAGATTTTGAAATACACGAACACGTTCAGAGCAATTAGACGACTGTATTTAAAATTGGCCCGAAAAATTATTTCTCGAGACGCCGAAACGCAGAATTTAAGTCAGAAGACGATGCGACTCACTAGAGGCTAATAAAAATATTTATTTTACAACTCCTAGTCATTCGTGATACGACACAATTAAAATGTATTTTAAGGAAATAAGTTGTAAAGAAAACAACTCGGTTGAACTAGAAGCTGATGGAATCTACCGCGACAAATTTGTGATATCGAACTCTTATCTTGCACGGAAAATACGTCTCAGATGAGTAACTATCAGCTGTTCAAAAAGACTTTGTATCCAGTTAATCTTAAAATGCGCGTAATTCTTGAATTTTAACTATGGATTTTTTTTAGCGTCTGTTCGCCTCGCCCCCTTAAGCACGGATAAACGGATTATCATTAAATTTGAGATCCGAAGGCCGCCTTGGTTTCTATGGTTACCTCCTACGTTCATTCTCATCCAACCTGCACGGCCAGCAATTAACGAAGATAACGTAAACACGCATAACCGTAGAGAATAATAAATGAACTTCAAGTACGCAGAAGACACGGCCCTTAATTCCCAGTGACCTACATTAACTCCCCTTCTGAATGAATAATGAATTTCAAACAGAAATCAGTAGGCGAAGTTTTCTCTGTAAGAAACAACAAATATCGCAAATCGTCGGCATGTTAATAACAGAATAAAGTTTAATGTGCCGGCATTCTGAGCAGGGGCTGTCACGAGCGTTTGTGAGCCTGAATCAATTTACAACACGCGCCCGCCAGAGGCCACTCAATTAGACGCACGTGTTGGCCTACACAGCAACCCGACACCCTCCTGTGTTAAGCGCGACCACTAATTTACAGGGGCCCGTGAAGTTCTCATTTGCAGCTAAAAGAAAAATGTGAGATTTGCGGGGATGAAGAGTCTTCTGGTAGAAGTTCACCGACGTTTCAGAGGCGCTAACACAAAGACAATTGAAACGACGGTTACGAAATTGTAACAGACTTCAGAACAATAAAAATTAAGATTTTCGAGAAATAATTTGCTTTGTTTCCAGTAATTGATTAGTTTTAAAAGTACTTGTTTCCAGTGACTGATTAGTTTTAAAGGTATATTGAATGGTCTACGACGCCTTTTAAAATTGCATTTTATGAGAAACTGGTGTCTAAGAACTTAAATCGCTCTTACGTTAAGTCAATTTTAATTTTGTTACCCAAAATCCCAAATGGCCCGCCTCTGCCGATAAGTTAAACTGAAGACCCGATTACAAAATTTCTTCGTAATTAATACTCGCGAATTTAAATTTCAAAACACTACACCCAGAACATAAATTCAACATTACGACGACGGAATTGAGGTGGATTATTGTTTTTAACAGGGGATAACTCACCCTATTTAAAGTGTATTTAAAGCTCAACCCCTTTTGCTTTGTGCAGTTCCCCCCTTCTTAATTAGGCAACTCGTGTGACACGGGATCCCTTCAGGGCGACGAAGGGGACCAGAAGAGCACGTCAAATTGTGTTCCGAAACGATACTTAGAACGCGCCTGTCAGCCGAACACTGCGCTGAAGTCATCAGACAGGTACCTCTGTGGTACGTCCTCAAACCTAAATGATATTTTAAAATTACGCGATATTTCTAAGTAAAAGTCGCGTAACAAAGCGACCGCTCCAAAATTCCTGCGCAGTGCGTGAATTTCCTAACTTGTACGTCCAATGCCATTATAAATTATTCCGTGTCTTCTCAAGGAAGAGATTACTTAAATTCTGGCGTGTGTCTGCAGCTGTCACCAAACTAATCCCCTATCCCCAATTCCCCATAAGGCACTGATCTCGCTAAACGCGGGTTTTGCGATCGTAATACCCGCGGTTGGTTAGAAAAATTTCGTGAGGCGCTTTAATCCTCTCGAACCTCACAATCTTCTTGACAGTCCATACAAAATGACGTTTACTCGGGTACAAAAATTTGGTTTGATTTCTCATCGCGAAGACCCCGGGGGATTTTTCTCCGAGTTCTTTCCGCTAATCATCACTTCACCACTGCCCCATATTCATCTATCACCGCCCCGCGCAATGTGTGAGATGGCCGAGACCAAGAGGCTTATTATCACATCCTCGGGGCCAGGAGTTAGACGGCTTCATCACTGAACGGACACTTTGTTAGTCTCTGAGTAACGTAGTTTACGAAAAACAACAAAACTCCGACCAAATCTCTCCAAGAATTTTCCATCTCTCCCGTCACAGTTTTAAATCGCATTATACAGAATTTGGAAAGGTCTATTGCTGCAACATAACGTAACGAGTCTTTTAAAAGACTACGTGAAATTGTAGAAATCCAATTAATAAAACCTTCACTAATTCCTTCATTTTGAACTTCGTCGATCGTCAGTCGACATTTAATTAATTACGACAAACGTAAGATTTTAAGGACGGAACTTCCTTCGTCGTAAGGTACGAAGGTACTTAGTTATCCAGCAGACCGAGGGCCTCGAGGTCCATCCCAATTTCATCCATAAAACAATACATTTTACATTCAAGCAATAAAGCAAATTACGAAATAAATTTGTGAACTACGAGGTGAAAAGAAAAATCATTATATGGCACAAATTAACAACGTAGCAGTCATAAATACGCCGTAAACATAGTTTCTTCTGCAATTAATATCATCGCCCACACGAACCCCTCGGAAAACAAACGAGGTGACGAGTAATATTTGCGCCGTCCAGTGGCTAACGAGTACAAGCCAAGATAGCAGCGACTCACGCGGCGAAAAACGAAGGCTTAAAACAGCAGAGCATCATCTGCGTATCGCCATCTTCCAGCTGTGATTAAGCTGGCTGCGTTAGGTCCATACTTATCCGTCTTCGTCAGTTTCTGCGGGGTCTCTGCTACGTCACTGACCATAATTCACGGCTTATTGCGGAAAATTCCCGTCTTCAATCTGTTCTATTTGTCGCGTCTACTTTTAATTCTCGGCTTATTGCGGAAAATTCCCGTCTTCGATCCTCTGAGCGTCAATCTGTTCCATTTGTCGCGTCTACTTTTAATTCCTTCGCGATATTATTATTTATCTTCAGTACTTCGTCTCTGTTGTTCGGATTTTATAATTTTCTCTTCAAGTTCCTATGCTAAATATATTCGTACACACTACAGATTTCCCAAACAGAAATCGTAAATCAAAATCTTACGGTCACCGAACATCGGCGTAATTTTGTTACAACCAAAAACCAACGAATATAAGACCGTGAGAAATGCGGGTGTCCAGAAATAAGACGTAGAAAAATATGCATCACTTTAATGGCGCACTTTCGTCAAAAAACAAAAAAAAACTTTACGCTAATCTAACAAACAGCGACACGTAACAAATTTTTCGACGCAAACGAAAACAAAATTTTCTAGCACGAGGAGAGTTCGATGCCGCGGCGTACACAAGCTAATCCAAGTGCAAAATTCGATTTTCTTCTTAAATCGCCTGAATTTAAGAGGAAACGCTGAAGATTTGTGGCGATGGAAATTTGTACGTCGGGAAAGCAAGCGAATTTTTTGCGTTTCGCTCAGGAATCGGCATTCGTATTGTGAACGTGCGAGAAGCGTGGATGACAGACAGACAGAGATAGAGAGAGAGATAGATGAAAACAAAATAAAAGAAAGACGACAGTCCGCTGAGTGTAACACATAATTAGTAAAACAATTACAGCCACGTTCCAGTGGCCGGGCACGAAGTTCCACCCTGCTGCATGCGAGTACGTAATTACATCTCATTACCTGTCTCCACGCCCGCCTTTTCATTTCGCCAGTAATTACACGAGACGTCGACAGCGGATTGGTGGAGGGCTTCTTTTTTTTGGGGGGGGGGACGTCATCACGAAAAAGCTACAACGCGGTTGGTGCCGCCTTGTGTGTTAAAACGGCGCTCACTTGAAGCCCGGAGTTTTCTGCCGGAAAAGAAAAACACTTCGAGAGGCGTCCTGAGAAAATACTAACGCCGTCATCGTGCCTTGATCCCGGGGTTCAAAGGCGTATGGAGGCGCGGGGAGAAATATCCACGCGCTTTAGAAACCGACACAAGTTGAAAAACATTGCAGCGAGGGGAATTTCGCCCTCCCCGGAGTTTGCTGCGTCTGCTGGTGGAGTCGGTCGGTCAGTACGTCTTTAAAGACCGACAAAAGACGAACGCACGGCGCAACAACCCAGAAAAAAAACAATTATTCCATAACACGTTGACTACTTATCCGCAAGAACGGATGAAAAACTTAAAAAAGATTCCTAAAGCTTTGAGTACGTCAGAATGAAATGTAAAAAGGACATCTGAAAATAGACAAGTGGAGACAAAGAAACGAAAAATACCGAAAGCAAGGGAGAACGAGGTCAAATAGTAGAGAATCAGAGGAGGAATTAGCAAAACTTGAGAATGGTGGCAGTATTTTCCTTCGAAACTCCGTGTCTACCTACGAGTCCACTCGTCGTCATAGCCCAAAACGCCAACATCGACATATTTACCGCCTACAGGATGTTAAACGTCCGACGCCTTCAATTTCCGTCCATAATGGTACGTCCTAACGTAACTCACGAGCGAAATATCGACTTCCGATCACGTAACACTTCGAAAAAGTCCTCGAATCCGTCTATGAGCAATGGCCAACCGAACGATACGCAGATACATTCATTAAATGACCAACTTTGTTTGGATTAATATCACTGATAGTGAAATAAATAAATACTTTTAGGTAAGTATACGATTACTATAAAAAATATTTTAAGGTGGAGAGGAACGTAATTCTGTACATGAACCATACCTTCAGTGCGTCATTAAATTCCAGTGCCTCAGGAGCAGATGCCCGAGGTCTGACGCTGGTGTTCGTTGTCGACGTCCGATCTCGTAAGAAACTTCGAAAACACTTCTCTTACACGCCAATATTCTGAAGAATGACTTCAAGATCCTGTGAGACAGAAAATAAATTACTTAAATCAGAGTTAAACCAAATCAAATTAAATACAAAAAAGTTCTACGTACAGAAATATGATTTTTTTTTAAATTCAGACACGTGACTAGTTATGACTTTTCTTGGCGACTCAGTTAATCCTTTAAAGCTCAAAACAAGTTCATCTCAATAACATTTAAAGATGCAGTCCGTACCGCGAAGAAAACACCACGCCTCACCATTACGAAGATCAACTGGTTAACGCTCGTTTTAATTAGCCCTTTGATGCCGAAGCTCGTCTAAATATTAAAGAATTCAGTCCGTACCGCGAAGTAAACACCACACTTCACCATTACAAGGATCAAATGGTTAACGCTGTTTAAGGAAATAATCGCTGTTTATTCTGAGGATCGTACGAAACCCATAATGAGAGTCTATTAACCCGTCTAAATAATATTTAAGAATTCAGACCGTACCGCGAAGAAAACACCGCACTTCACCATTACGAAGATCAACTCGTTAACGCCGTTTAAGGAAATAATCTAAAAATCTTCCGAAATACATAAATACACTCTGTGGACAAAATAAGGAGTTGCTGAAAGTTAATGCAAGTGGTACATATAGTTACCGTCATTCTTCTAAAGTTTCAAGGCACAGAACTTTAGTGAATTTGCTTATTGGTGTTGCAAGCGTTCAACGACGTAACATAATAATGATGATGACGATGATGATGATGGAGCAGAATTTTGTAAAAGGGAGTGAATGTTCTCACTTAAGCCGCTGTACGGGACGAGAAGGTCAGCTGCGACTTCAAGGTGTTTTTTCATGGCTTATTATAAGGTACTTAAGATTATCAAGACATCGGACACAGTTGTTCTGGCGTCCATCTGCCCTCGTATCGGTCCGTATCTTGGCAACAGCATTGCCGTTAAATGCCGTGGCGTCCGGGTCATGTACGGCCCACTGAAAGCCACACGGTGCTCATCAAACATGATGCCGACACGCGTAAAAATGTTTTAATTAACATTTTATATAATTATTTTAACGTGTTTTTTGTTTCGAAGCCGTGAAACATTTTCTGTAAACTAAAATTTAATATCACAATAATTTTTCTGTGCGTTATTTATGCAGCATACTTGTTTCTAAAACCACAATGTTTCGGAGCTTTGTTTTACTTCCGTCTTCAGGTGAAAGTACGACATAACCATGGCCTATTAAGCCTCCTGACGAAGCTAATCTCAAGTGATGACAACAGGGGGGGGGGTCAACACATCGGGCGTCGTACTTTCACCTGAAGACGGAAGTAAAACAAAGCTCCGAAACATTGTGGTTTTAGAAACAAGACCAAAAACAAATTTCAGCGCCTCGTATCATAGCAAGAAACCTCCAAACTTCGACTTCGCAACATGCTGGCTTCTTTACTGTTAAAAAAAGAATCGCCCCTTGTCGTCTGTCCACGATTGTTTATTCAGTACATTCGCAGGTGACCTGCGTAGCCGATCTGGGAGGCATTACCCTCCAGGTGACCACCGAACACGAAACACGGCCGGTAGCCGACGAGGGACCCGGGAAATATAAATACGACGTTTCGTAATGTCAGGAAAGCCAACTTACACGGTCATGTTTATGCCAAAAATCGGCGATAATTATCGGCATTTATCTTATCACACTTTCAGTTCACACGAACATTCTCTGAAGACGAGTGTCAAAGATTCGTTTGGTTCAGATGGATGTTGTTAACACGGTAATGAACATTTTAATTGCATAAAATACGAGGGAGGGGGGTTCTTTACTAGCCCAGTGACGACACAACGGCCCAATATATTTACGAGAACTTCGTGGCTCCAAAGGGTAGCGTCACCGTCTAACACTGCACAATAGTCCATGCAAATCGCCAATTTGTTTGTTACGTAATATCACAAACGTGTCCCTTCCCTCTGATTTCATAATTCCTGTTATTTTCAGCGAAACTCTGAGTCAATTTCGTCGATTTCCACTCAAAGCAAGAAACCTTTTTTTTTCAAGCCCAAACGGATAAAATAAAAATTAATTTGTAACTTAGTCGTAGATATTTTGTAAAGAATGATAAATGGTATTTACCACAGCACGTGTTTCTATTCATTTAATCACCAACCTCCCTTTTTCGTTCGCTAATTCTTCAGATGTTTAAATTTTTCAGGTGTTTCGGCACGTACTTATGCACCCTTTATCACTGACGAAATTAAACAATTCGCTGCACCAACTTTCCATCGTCGTTCACAACAGAGGATCCACAATATTCTTCAAAACCACTTTTAATCATCGGAAATTAAAATAACTGCGACTGTGAGAACGTTATCGATAACAAAATATAAAAGAACGTTAAAGCAACAAAGTGCTTTAATAAATATTTTAATAAATTTAATTATAAAGCCGAGTGACATCATAATCGCACACAAAGAAAGATTTTACTTTGATTAAAAATTATAGAAAAAAGATGTCACGTTCCAACGCCGAGATTAAAATGATTTCTTTCCCACAATTAATGCACTGTGGCGGGCATTTTTAAAAAAAAATCACTTGCGTTTCACTTTAAAAACAAAAGAACACATTTCACATATTCGTCGTTCTGAAACTAACCTCGGCTATCAACAATCAGGCGACACTTATGCCACTGTTGAGGAAATGAACTGCGTCACAGAGTTGACTTCCGGTGAGACGAGACGCCATTTTGTCGAACTATCTCGTCTTCGGGTTAATTGCGTGTACGAATCTGTAAGAGAAAAACGGCCTTAGAATCGATTGTTAAACTCAAGCAACAAAGCAAGAGTTAGTCAGTAACTTTGGATCGTTTTTAATAACTAAACACGAGAATAAAATTACGCAACAATGACCAGTACTTTTTTCAAATACGTTTACGACGTTATTTTTTCGAGTTAATCTGATTTATATTCCGTTAGTTTAAAATAATGATACACGCCAATTGTTCGGTGGAAATAAGAAATATTCAAGTCTTTGCGTAAACAAAAATAAAATTTGTATCTAGAAATTGAAGAAGTACCTCTGTAATGATTTAGGCGGCTGCTTCCAACGGTGACGTCACAGGCACCAAGACACTGATAAAGGTTGGTATTACTGCTGTGGAAATAGGTTGGTAACCTTAGCCGAAGAAACCGTTATTCAACTGTTGTATTGTTAGGAGTTTAGGTATTTGAGGATTCACGTTTAAGCAAAAATGGTTTTAAATTAATTACGTCATTTCAGGCAGCACACACAGAGGGCAGTGTTCAACAATGGCGATAAACAAAAGAAAACATTCAAGGCGAACTTCATGTCAAAGAACATGAATGATATCTCGGCTGATACGTGAAGGGCGTATGGATATTTTATTACATAATTTACGTGCTTCAATGATGTTCTGTGGCGTGAACTTTGAACTCTGTCCTACCCTTAGGAGTCCAAAATAACGTTTAAGTCCAAAATTACTAGCAGTGCACAGGGAGTTACGAAACAGGATGGAGCAGGCCAGTCCTTTTAGAAAGTCATGGTCTGTGGCACTCTATAATCGAGAGAAACTTCGACATAAAATGCTGCATCTTCAAGGCTGAATTACATGAAATATTCATGACTGTCCGAGAAATGTGATACGAAGGAAGATAATCTTTTTTCCAGTGCTAATGACTGACGTAATAACGCAAAAGTCTGGGGTCTGAGGGTAAATAATCTTTTTTCCAGTGCTAATGACTGAAGTAATGACGCAAAAGTCTGGGGTCTGAGGGTAATTAAACCGAGTGAAGAATTTATCGTGAAAAATTCATCAGTACAAAAAATGCTACTGAAAAACATTGTCAGTCCAGGGGGAAATAAGTCCCAAGACGTAAAGACTTAGGATAAGTCTAAAAAAAATCCTTAAAAACTTTCTACTGTGACGTAAGTCATTTCTGTCATCCCAAAATTTCTGAAATTGCTGAGAAAACTGTCGATGGTCACGTGACAATATTAATAAAGACGTATGAAGCCTAATAATATCCAGATGATGTACTTTTTGAACATCAGTGGCAAGAAATCATCACAGGATAAACGATATTTTTTAAAAAAATTAATATCTTAGTTTAAAAATCTTTAAAGTAGGCTGTTTAAAATCTCTGGAGAGTTTAAAATATGACGAGACACGAAAGAAAATCTTTTGCTATAAGTTTTAAGTTCGTAGATTCTGGTGGCCATTTCAAAACAGAAGCCAATGAGTGGCGAACGTATAAGACGTGAGGAGCTAACGGGGGCGAGACGTCAATTTTCGCTAAAAAAGAATAATGCTTCAATTGTGCAAGGAAAACAGGACTTCCCACATCCGTGCAGAAAAGTCCTTCGTATCACTGTGCTTCACTCTACTGGCGTCCGAGAGAAACAGATCTTGGAGATAAATCCGTCAAGAGCTGACGGGAATCAGAACGAGGGATGATGATATTTGGTGACACTGTGCAATTTTGAGCTGATTCTGCAGTGGAAAATAACGAAGGTAATTGAGAAGTAAGAAGGAATTTCGCAGATATGAAGACCCTGGTACATAGACGAGTCTGATGGGATGTTCCTGGAGAGATGTCGTCGGAAATGTGGAGCAGGAGGCGAGGCGAGGTCTCACTGCCGACGGCAGTCCTCCCTGGGAGACGCTGAGCCAACTAGACGTTCCAGTCCAGATGACCTTGAACACATCCTGGAGCCGAAGATCGTCTTCGGGGGTCTCGTAGTCCCAGAAGCGGAAGGCCAGTGGGCGGACCATCAGCAGGCGCCGTTCTCGAGGAACTGCTGTCACCACCTCCGAAGAGGTCCTCGTGTGCAGAGCTGGCCAGAATCAGTAGCGACCGGAGAGATCTTCACTTGACGTTGTCTGAAGCAAGAATGCAACCATCACCGACGTCCCATCCCAATTTTATATGTAAGTCACAAGCTGGAGGAACCCGAGTAGAAGGGGAAGGAGGTAAAAGAGGAAGGAGGTAGAGGCTTTTTTTTTTCATCAGGCTGCAAGCAGCGGCAGGCGGGTCTCCTCTACTCATCTGCAAGTCCTATAACAGAGCTAATTATCAAGTTAATATGGACATTCTGTATGGGGAAGCAGCTAGAGGCTTTCTATAGTATAAAGGGGTAGGAGGAGGAGGGGGGGGGGAGGTTTTGGTTTGGAGCCAGCAGTGATAGAGTGAGACAGCTTCGCTGATCCTTATATGAAGTGGGAGTGAGAAGGCGATACTACATTGATATTATAAGTTGCTTCAATCGCTGTATTCATTTGTAAACTAACCAGCCTGGTATATTCCAGGGAAGTGTATATAGTGTTCGAGGAGCATGCAAGGCGCTGCACACACAACCACCCCAGACGTTTGCTCATGCAACTTTCATACAATTTAAAGTGCCCGTTATTCAGTGAGGGGTGGCAGTGGCGGTTGCAGGGAGGAAGGAGTAAGGATTATGCAGGAGATGGAGAGGAGGGGTGCCTTAGAGATGTTTGGATCTTAGCAGGTGCCAACATGGTGGGAATTTTGATTCTGGCCCCTGACGCCTGTTGTGTGTGTCAGCATGAGTCTGAGGAGGTGTTTAAAAAAAATCTCTCTCTCTCTCACACACCCTTAACATTACGTATTTCAGGTCTTTCTTCTCTTATCTAGTACGGCACATACTTTCTTCGTTCGTGAAGGGAATATTAGGAGCTGTGCCGTATGGATCTCGTCTCGTAGCAGAACACTGTTTCCATGCATTGACAAGAGGGATACTGGTGGGGGAGGGGGGCGTAGGAGCAGAGGAGAGGCGAGGCGAGCCATGCCGAAACATATTCATTTATACATTCATTCATTTCAACCGTCGAGCGCTGTTGGCTGCTGCTTGAATAATATCCAAATCTGAATATAAAATAATGATAATACATATATGGATGAACACTCGCGTCACGTCACCATGGAACTGACACACATTTCGTTATTCTCGGGGCGATGCGCGTTAAACATCGGGCGAACTGTGGGCGGTCTCATTCTGCCAGTGGATGATTAATTCGTTCTGTTTGTGGCGAGGACCTCGAAGGAGCCCCAAGGCTGTTGTTAGTTTGTCTGTCTGTCCGTCTAACAGAATTTCTATATCTTTGTCTTTCTCAGAATTTAGGACAAATGTCACTGTCTGCAACAGACAAGAACCGGTTGGATGGTAATCGTCTTACCGTTACCATGGCAATGCTGATAAGGGATAATATTAATGACTTCGTGTATTTGCTATATTATATTTTCCCGTCATTCTGGAAGGGAAATTGACTGGTTTTGTGAAATACGCATTTCTTTCAGAGACGTGTTTTTCGTAAAAAAAAAAAAAAAAAAGGATTATGTAATCAATGACTAGTGTACCATTCTCGATTTTGATGTCAAGGAATAAAGTGGGTCTAAGATTTTTTTTTTGCCAATGGTACAATTTGGTTTCCCAGTTAGATTTTGACTTTATTGCAATTACGATAATTCAGCAGTCACGCTGAGTATGCTGAAATTAGTATAAATATAAATAATTTATCTAGTTTACCAACAAATTTCGCTACATTTTTCCTCAGCTCGTCAAGAAATCCCCCGTCATTTATGGAAACCAAAGTGTCCATTGCCGTATTCACAAAAGCCAGATATTCCCTTTTAAGACTCAGCCCATATCCTCATATTGTATACTTAGGATCTATTTCAATGTTATCCTCCGACCTGTCTTCAATGTCCTGCTTGCTACATTTCATCATGGGTTTACAGTCAGCTCAAAATATCTCGGAGCAAATAAAAGTCCCTGGATTAAAACATGAAATTGAAGTGCGTATGGCGGTTTTGAAACAAATAACGAGAAAAATATTTGAATCCAAAACACAGGAAGTATCAGGAAGCCGGAGAACAAGGCGTTCTTCAACAGGCGTAAATGTGAGAATAACACAAGAGATGTCAAAAAGCAACAGGACTGAGAATGTGGGTTGGTCTCACGTGACTCAAGACGGAAAAGGGTTTTGTGATCACGGCAATGAACATTCGGATTCCACAAACTGACTGACTAAGCGACTACAAGATTCTCAAGAAGAAGTTATTGACAGCTGTATTATATATTTTTTTAAAAAAATGTTTTTGAACCTCGACGTTCAGGAACAAAAGTACGAACCAAATCGCAAATACGAACATTTTACTGTACGTTACGTCATTAGCTATAAAACACCGAACATTTAAATAACAATAGACCTATTATAATTATGTAGATGTTTAGGCTCTTTTTTTAAGCGGTCCAAACTAACAACATGTGACTGTGTAAAATGTTCTCTATTGGGTGGGGATAAAAACCAATGAACCATCACAGGCAGATAAACACAATTTTGTATGGCGTGTGATTACAAATACGTGATCGGCGCAGATAAAACATTTTCTATATCGGCGTTGCTGAATTTCGAACATTTAAGGACGTAAGACGTCAGAATTATCCTCAATTACTTCGCATATCGCTCACTCCTTGTTTAAACTTAACCAACTACACGAAGCAGATTCTTTCATCAGACGCTAACAGTCGCTTAGCTAGTCAATAGATCCCCCGGTTCAAAGGCCCCTAACGTAAGCCAGATCAATCCAATCAACACCGACCCAGACTATTTCCATAAGATCAATTATAAAATTACTATTAATTGTCCGTGAAGAACAATGGGAAAATCTAAGGTAGTTGACATAATTAATGTTATCGCGTAAGGCCCGAAATTATAACCCAACAAATCGACGAATCAAACAATAAACTTTTACTGTTCTACAGACAGATCCTCCCGTAGTTGCCTACGTTTTCAAAATGGTCTTTATTGATTCAGGTTTACTGTCCAAAACTTTGTATACATTTCTTTTTAGAACTCTTTAAAAATCAGAGCACTAAACGCATTTATAAATCCGCAACAGAAAAATCATTTCTAACTCTTGTCCCATGTAGGTAAAACACGAAATACCTGGGTGGAGTACATCCCCCTCGAAATGTGCACTCCCCCGCGACGAAACCGCGTTCTGGGGGTGCGGTGGCCGAGAGAATGAAGCTACCCCGCCGAGAGTCGAACTTCGGCCCTCCAGAGCCAGACAAGCGTTTCTGATCTGCCATTTTCCTAGTGGTGTTGCAGAACCCTGTTATACCACGGTGCCTCAGATGTCTAGTGTCATAAGTGGGCGTGGTACCCCAGACAGGACCCCTATGTGTGTAGGTTACACACTGATTGTTATTTCGGACAACGCTGGGGGGTGAGGTGGGGTGGAGTGGAAAGTAAGATATGCAGAGACTGAATGCACCCATGTAAAGTTCATCCCACGACCGTCTGGGTTCGAGGGGGTGGGAGGGGAAGAGTTAATATCTGTGAAGAGCGATGGAATGTACAGTGTTCCGTATGAACGCACTCCAACACTACCAAAAATCGATTCTATCACATACGATTTAATCCTGTCAATGCACACAACCCTCCTTTAAAAACGTGTGAAATGTTCAAATAATTAGGAACGACGTCAAGAAATGTATCTCACACTGGTTCCACGGGGATTAGAATCCTCCGCTGTCCTTAAATAAGGAGTAGACTTAGAAATGAAAACAGCATTTCAGCTGTATTTCTGAAGGGACGACACTACTGGAAAGACCAAAGTGTAGACGGCACGATAATATTAAAATTGATCTCAGGGATATAAGGTTAGATAATGTGGATTGGATTAATCTGGGTCAGGGTAGCGCCGGTGGAGGGCTCCTCTGAAAACGGCGATAAACCTTCGGACTGCACGAAAACACACGAAATCTCTTCACAAATTGAGCGACTATTAATTAAACCTCCACAGAAGGTCCCTTTCTGCTTCAGGGAGACGGTAAGTTAACGCAACAACCCGTGGTGTTGGACGGAATGACGAATGAAGTATAACAGAACTCATACATAAAACATGCTCTTAAATACGGAGACGACACAAGACGATCAGAACCTGACATAGCACGTGGTAAGAGACAGCACACACCTTTGAAGTTTGTGAGGACAGTGTCCCACGCGCCTTCACCATTACAAAGCCCAAATGGTTAACACTGCATAAGGAAATAATCGCTGTTTACTCTGAGAATAACACAAAACAAATAAATGCAAAATGCGAGACACCTAGTGTTAAAGCAGGTGGTACATGCAGTCACCACTAAGCCAAACAGTTGTTAAGGACCTCGCCACGAACATATAAAAATTCATGAAGCGAGAACGTTCCTTCTATGGAACGCGAAGCCTTGAACCCGTGCCCAGAAGATACCACCAATGGACCCTATCCAAAGCCAGCTGAGTTCAGTTCACACCCTCACATACTACGTGCTTCAAATATAGGCCTACTTTAATATTATCCTGAATTGTAGCCTCTTTCCTTCAGGTCGTCCGATATAAATTTTGTATGTGTTCTCTTTTCTCCGATATTTTATTAAATTTATTGTTGTTAACTGTTATTATTGTTGGAAACCAAAATACATCATCAGTGAGATAACTTTTCGCTGGTAAGTGCTCATGGATTATGGTATTACATTAAAAAATGTATTTCGCTTATAATACTGTCTCTATATATTAATTTATTTCTATAATTGAAGACATAAATACGTACTTTCGTCCTTTTATATAGGACGTAACTCCAGAGCTGTCTGTCTTGTCAACAAGTCACCTCTCAGATACCAGAAAGTTACGTACAAACGTCTTCACACGAAACTCTCGAGTTTTCGATAGAAGTCGATTTTTATCTCGACTTCCCTTTTCACCTCTTTCAGATTCGTCCAAGATCCAAATGTAACATTTCCAACTATTGTAGCCTTCATTGAATTACATCGACTACAGTGCGCTGACTTTATAGTTTATTTATTATTTATAAAGGT